AAAGAAAGTTATTTTAGTGTATTGCTGTTGCACCATCCACTTTTATTTAACCTTATTCTGCCAGACTATAAAGTCTTCAAAGTAACACAGATGTCTTAAATAAACTGCGTGAACTTATTGGTCTTATCACCAATAAACTTATTGCTGATAGTTAATAAACTTAAACATTGAATTTTGATCAAAAGTAGGATGTCTTTTTATTATGTATCTGTAATTGGAGACATCTTACCAAATTTAATTCAACCCAGAAGTGACTTTGTACGATCAACATGGAAGTAAAAGTTTCTAAACAGCTGCCGGAAATTGATCAAATGCATGACATTTAAATTGATTCAAATGCTAAATCCTTTGCGCCTTAAGCATTTGTTTTCTCTCAGACATGCTCATGGCCCGAAGCCCAACAACTCTACCATTTTCCGGTCTTTCTCCCCCAACCCCCCCACGTCAGCTCTCTGCTACCTCCTCTCTAGCCTGTTTGTCTGTCCCTCCAGAGAGGCACCCAGGGCCAGGCCCAGGGAGCCATAAAGGGCTGGTTTGTGTTTGGTTAGTGGTGCAGAGCGCCATGTGAAAAGCTTAATTTCGAAGGTCCAGGGGGATTAAACCATGCAGGAGGCAGAAAAGAAGGAGGTGCTGTGCATGTGTGTGTGTGTGTTATCATGAATTTGTGTTTGTGTGTTCTCGCTTAAAGACAGGCATATGATTTCAATTAGGTTCCTCCACCTTTTTTCCCCTCCCCAGCCCCTCCTCCTCTGGTGTGTTGGTGTAAGCCTCCCTAACCAATCTGTGGTTAAACTTAAACTGTAGTCTTCTCCTATTCAAGCTCTTATTAATCAGGGTAACATTCAGTCAGGTTGATAAAAGGAGGGACGTGGTGCCTCTTGGTTGAATGCACCCTAATAAACATTATGCAGTTTGTAAGGGCTTACACAGAGATGAATGAACATGCATGCAGAAGCAAACTTTCTTTCTCTTTTCTGTCTTTCTTTCGTTCTCGGACATCGGTCATCCTGAACCATTAGCCATGCTTGGTTACCGTTGTAAAACAGGTCAGTGAAATCGGATGACTGCCAGAATGTGCTTATAGACAACGCCGGTTCCCATAAGCAGTTTTTGTGTTTGGATCTCATTCCTCTCCTTTACTTTTTTTTTTTCTACCTTTCAAAGTTTCTTTTCATCCAAGCCAGGAGGAATGCAGTCAAGATTTGGGAGAAAATGAAAGAGTAACCATGCTCAAGAGAGAGAAATTAGAAAATAGATGATCTCACAGATGGTCTTTTTCAACCGTTATTGAGTCTCTGTTGGACATAAAACTGCAGCTGGCAGCTGCTCATATTAACTCTAAACTGTTTTGACTACATTGGTAAAACACGATAAGGTTTCCAGGGGGATTAGGGTAATAAGGCATTCACTAAATGAACATGACTGTCACCTTAAACCAAAATCTCAATTAAACCTATATGTAGTCCAGCAGTGAAAAGGTTGAATTCATCTTTTTAATGAGTAAGTTGGCTTACAGCTGATTTTTGTTAGAAAAAGGAATCCAAGCCACCATACCTTTAGACCAACATGAAAGCACTTACAGGTCCTGAATGTTACCAAACTGGCATTTTTATAAGGCAAGCACCAGATGTGCTGCCTTATAAATCTGCCATCCACCCAGAGCAAATATCTTTGCAACAGGCATGTGAGGCCAGAGAAAGTGTTGAGAAAAAAAGACAAAAGGAATGGTTAGGGAGGGGGGTTCAGCTGAAACGGAAGTATTCACAATGTCAAGCAGGAGTGTGAGGGTGAGAATTGTAAAACATATACTTACTGCTGACAACAGGGAAATCTACCCGGAGAAGCATTTTTAAGGGGTCCATTGGCCTTCAAGGTATTCACATATAACTTTTCCTCTGAGTGCTGCCTGTGTTCTTTCTTATTTGTTTTTCAAACCTGGACCCTATTTTCCCATGTTTTTGTGTCTAAGTGACTAATGAGGACAACAATCTTTGAAATTGGTCAATTATTGGGGCAATTGCTCACCGTTAATGTACGCTCATTAGTAGTGTTTGCTTTGGCCACTGACGAGCCTGTGTTTGACAAAATATGGAAATCACAAGCGGTGACAGGAAAACAACAGTGAAGACCTGAATGAAAGAATGAAAGTTGGAGGAAACAGTTCTAGGAGGAGATTTTTTTGTTAGGGTACAGAAAGCTTAGTTTAGTGTCTTAAAGATCATAACTGATTATTAAACTGATTTCAACAGTGTGTACAGGGGTAGAGAAAAGTGTTGTATTCCTCTCTGAAGTCCTTACCATAAAGAGAAAATAGAGTCCAGGTTATAAAACACTGAAGTCAATGTCTATATTGTTCTGCCTCAACTAAATCAAGGGTCTGTTTGTTCAGATTTTTGAGCACATAAGTGACAAAATTGTGATTTGGGGCAATGTAAATAAAATGAGCTTCATTGCTCCATCAGGAAAATGTCCCGTCTTGTCAATAAAGCAAGACAGGAATGTTTTTCTTACCCTTTTATCACCTTATATGTTAGCGTGCAATTACCTGTCCTCCTTCGCATGTCATGTTTGTACAGATTAGGAGTCATAAATGAAATGTCTTTACTGTCAAGCCACTGCATGCGGTGTAATATAATACGGGGATTTTTCCTCCGCTTGCTCCTTTATTCTTAGGACAGACATGAATAAGCTCGCCTTACAGTCTTACGGTTATTGTTCTGATTGTTATCTGCAGATTTAGCCCTTGTCTGAATATGACAAATTAATAATGGGTTTTCATTAAAACTAAAAACACTGAAGAACTTCACCCTTCCATATCGGGTATGTTCTCAGGAAAATGAAAGACGTCAGATTAATCAAGTTATGAAATAAAAGATAGTTAGGTTCAAAAGGGCACTTTAAAGAAAGCAGGAGGAAACATTAATATCCATTGGCAGAAATGTTCTTTTATAGGAAAAATGTAGAGGATTTGAAATAATCATTAAAGTGTAAGTCGCAGTCCCAAACAAACTGTGCTTCTAATCCACCTTAAATCGTCCTTGAACTCTTCTATAGCATGGCTGGGATTATTAATCAGTAGATGTTAATGTCCTGAGAGTTTTTCTTGGAGCTGCATTTTGCAACAGTGGAATCAAGATTTTTAAAGCACTGTCAATGTAATCAGGTAATGCTCATTAATATAACTTTGATATGATCAAATGGCCTAATTCTTTCTATATTCAGAAAAAGAAAGAGGTCGAGGGAACCTTTGATTAAAGTCACATGAGGTCCACCATCTGTGCAAATAGAGCTAAAGATAACGAGTAGGATCTGGTTGGGCCGTGTGGTGAGCACCAGGCTTCAGAGTGTCTGGTTTACTTGGAGAGAGCCACAGAGAGCTGGGTGTTTCTGACATCCAGCCCAAACAGGGTTTGGCTCTGGAAGAAAAGCTGCATTGAGCGCTGACTCCCCACTGCTTCTACGAAGTCTAACCATCAATAGCTATCTGCTAGCATTTTGTTCAGAGGGTTTCTGGACTTATCTATCTTCACTGTCCGAGGTTTTGGGCCGAGTAGGAAGAAGTGGTTTTACATTTCTCTCAAGTTCTCTGTCTTAACTGCAGGAGGCAGGGCAATGACAGACATTTTGTGTCCAATATGTGGGCTTATTGGTGTAGGAGGACTGAAAGGTAGTGATTACAGAAGACCTGGGTGTTTGTGTGTGTCAGTACATGTGTGTGCGTGTGGTCCGACCAAGGACAGGATGACATCCAGCAGACCCATCTGTTGAAATGACAGGGGTCCTTTCTGGAGAAGCTGTGAACCTCCACCTCCTGTGGTTAGGATACTTGAGCTCAAAACACACTCTTTCTCTCTCTCACACACACACACACACACACACACACACACACACACACACACACACACACACACACACACACACACACACACACACACACACACACACACACACACACACACACACACACACACACACACACACACACACACACAGACCAGTGGCTCACAGTTAAAGCAGTCTGACTGTCTCCAATCCTACTGCATTGCCTAACTTATAAACAAGTCACTCTCTCATCTAAGATGTTTATAGTCTGAAGTTATGATAATGTGCAGCCCTGTTTATTCTTTCAAAACTGCAGGCTATCTCTGAAATTCAAAGCACTATCAGAGGTGGTGACATCACTGCGAGCCATGCAATAAAAGTCTTATCTGTGAAGTTCAGTCTCTGAAACGGTAAAGCCAGGCTGGCAGTGAGTGTTATCACTATAGTGTGCTGATAACTGTGGTAAACACTGAGGCTCAGTGATGTCACTGTGCAGTTTGTGCAAATGCATGAAAAGGGCGTTGACCTCAGCATAAACACACTGAGTATACAGTGGCGTAAGTGTAGGTGTCTGCATCTGTCCTGAATTAGTGCAGATTCTTCCAAACAGCTCCAGCAGAGCATCTATGTGGCAAGAATATAGAAACTTTAAGTAGCATGTCAAAAAGATGATATGTTAATCTTTCTGAGCTCTGTCTGCTTCTATAAACTGTTCAAGAAGCAGCTAAACTACATTTTTTTATTTACACCACAGAATTTAATTTGTTTTGACAAAATCATCTGCATGAAATCTATTACAAGCTTTGTGTTAATAAGCCTTACCATGAGAAAAGGAAAAACAGAAATGAAGTGGAAAAAGCCTTTTCCCTCAACCCTCACCACTGCAAAGCCTCATTTAGGAACTACCACTATATTCGCCTTTGAAGATTTGTGGTTTTTCAGCACCACTGGGCTTGTTTTCTCTGTTGACTTTCATTTCCTCAACCTAAACATAATGAGGCATTCTGTTATGGGCCCATTACCCTTTTTTCTTTTTTTCTAACATTAGTAATTACATCTATGATGCTCTTTCACTTTTACCATTGTATCCATGTGTGCTTGGTTTTAAAGGATTTCAATACCACTAACAGCTTTATCGAGTCTTTTGAATAAGTGTTGTTCTTTTTCTTCCTTTGTAGAATTTCCGTCCCATCACCAGCGGATATGGTGGTCCCAGTCTCAAGTCTTCATACACCCCTGAACCCCAGTACCCTCCTTCCCCCCAGTACCCTCCTTCCCCCCAGTACTCTCCTGCTCCCCAGTACCCGCCTGCTCCCCAGTACCCTCCTGCTCCCCAGTACACTCAAGCCCCACAGTCCCCACTGGCTCCTCCCCCTGCACCGGCTCCACAGCCCCCCCACCTGAACAACGGGCACTCCAAATCCAACAACGGCTACAGCTACGGATACGGGAAAGGAAACGAACGCGCTCAGTTCAACAACCCAGCAGGACTTTATCAAAACGGCAGCAATGGAGAAAGAATTCTGCCAAGCAAGATGGGAGGCCTTAACCTCAGCGCCTCACAAAGGTGAGGGGATCCAATTGTGCTGCAAGGGGGAGAAAGAGAACAAAATATAAAGAAATGGGTTGTTGCATATCCAGGACTAGTATATACTAACTGTAGGGTTTGGAAAAGAAAGTTCTTAAATGGATTTAAGTATCGAAAAGATAGAATAATTCAAATATAGTACCACACACTTTTTGTTATTGCCAATAATGGACCTGTCATCATAAGAAGACTTAATGTAATGTCTTTGCTGTAATCTAGAGAAACCACATCTTCAACAAATTCATATATTTTATAATTGGAAACAGTGAATAGTATCCATGTAGTGATTGGAAACAGTGAAAATCTTTTAATAGACACTCAGTTTGTGTAAAAGAAATAAGAACATTGTTACTGGGGGTTAGGTGCCTGCTTCTTAAACCCATTAACCTTTACATTGTTAAAGCATCAATTATGAGTATTCATGTGCTCTCTACCATAACAGATATAAACACACTTTGTATCTCTTTAGACTCACGTGCACAGGTGGTCCTGTGGACTGGAGAAACACTTTGTCGTGGTGCACCACTAGAGCAGGCTGTAAATCTGTGTGTTAATTCTCAGAGTGAACATCTTCTCCAGAACTCAGCGCTCCCCAGGACTGGATTTTTTAACTTCCTAGTCCCTGACACACGTGCAGTACAAACAAACACAGTTTAAAACCATTTTATCTCTGCTCAATGCCCCCTGTCAATCATGTTTTCTAATTATTTTGGTACACAATGTCTCTGCATTCTCCTGACTTTCTTTCTCCTTTCTGTCTCTCACTCACTCAGTCAAATGTTCACCAGTTTGGTCTTTCTCTCTCTCACACACACACACACACACACACACACACACACACACACACACACACACACACACACACACACACACACACACACACACACACACGCTCAGACTGCATTGATCCCTTCCCTCCTGGAGTGGAGACAATCGTGCAGTAGAGTGTGACAGAATTGGAACACATCCGTCAGCATCCCTGCTCCTCTCCCAGAGGCTTGAATGTATCACATGAATGGGATCCGTCCTGTTAGCTCTAGGAAAACGTGATGGGTGATTGAACATGCAGATCCATAGCACAGGGCTTTTGTGATTAAGACTTCATGCCTGTGGAATCACACGCAGATTATAACGTGTACTCTTTGGTTTTCCCCTCCGAGCGTCCACCTCTGCTGTCTCAGCGTGTCGAGTTTCTTTTTCTGCCTCCGGTGGTCTGGGTATTGTCATCTATTGTTTTTTCTGTTAAGGCCACTTTGGCTCCTTTCATTCTTTCCTTGCTCAAACATCACATCAGGACATCACATGATAAAAGACACAAAACAGTGGCCATATGTAATACAATAAACAAACGAAAATACATATCACCCTAACATCAGCACATTCACTTGTTGTCAGAACATCGAACCTTGTTTTCTTTCTAAATTGATGTATTTTGTCTTTTAATCACCATTCATTAGATAGCAGAAGAATAATATCTCTCCTCCCTTGTGTCTTTCAGCCCGGAGCCTCCCTCACAATCCCCTGTGAGCCGCAATGGTTTCGACCCGCAGTCAGACGTCTACAAGATGCTGCAGGACTATGAAGAGCCCGTCTCTGCACCCAAACAGTCCGGCTCCTTCAAATACCTCCAGGGAATCCTGGAGGCTGAGGATGGAGGTAGGGATATCTGATGGTGTGTGTGTGTGTGTGTGTGTGTGTGTGTGTGTGTGTGTGTGTGTGTGTGTGTGTGTGTGTGTGTGTGTGTGTGTGTGTGTGTGTGTGTGTGTGTGTGTGTGTGTGTGTGTGTGTGTGTGTGTGTGTGTGTGTGTGTGTGTGTGTGTGTGTGTGTGTGTGTGTGTGTGTGTGTGTGTGTGTGTGTGTGTGTGTGTGTGTGTGTGTGTGTGTGTGTGTGTGTGTGTGTGTGTGTGTGTGTGTGTGTGTGTGTGTCATAATGTGAAGCTACTTTTCCATGAACTGAAAAATGAATTCGGCCAATGCTGTGGTGAAATGCTGACAGAAGCACACCTATTGAACTGATTGTAAAAAGGTTATAAGGGCATACATGTGAAAGCTATAGGGCTGTGCCTAACACTTATTTCGTTTTTATAGATCCATCTGAATTATTTCCTCATGCTGTTGATTTATCTTGGCATCTATGAAATATCAGAGTACAACATACTTCTCACACACTGCCAAAAGTGAGAAAGCGTAATTTGTGAAGAACAGTTCACCAACCAAATCAGTAGTTCTCAAATATTGTATTCCCGCTAATTTGCAATCAGCATATCAGCTATTTTCACTTTGATAGACGTTGCTGCTCCACAGTCAAACGACTATACTGTTAAACTGACTGAGACTGTTGAGCTAGTATTTATTAAGATGGCTTTAACATTGTGAGCATCTGGTTTACCCGCGTGCATCTAGAAATCCTCACAAAATACTTTGTTATTTATAAACTTATCAAGGTGAAAGTTTGAGTGTAAATATTTTCTCCTATGCAAACAAGAGTCGTGATTCCAGCCAAAAGGAACATCTTGCCTCGCTCGGGCAGTTCCTCTCTCTCTGTTTTGATCTGCTCTGTCTTACTGGCATAGTTTTCCTTTTATAGAAAGACACTAGACAGGGAGGTTAGGGGAAAGAGGGATAAGTGAGAGAGGCAGAAAAGGAGAGATGGAGGGAGCTGGAGAAAGATGAATCGCTTTAAATAGCTCACTTACGGGTGAGCAGGGGGGGAGTTTTGGTTTACTGCAAAAACAACTTCAGAAAGGACAATAAAGTGAGAAATATAGTTTTCCTGTTTGCCTTTTGACCGCTCAACATTCCAGCTTTTGAGCACGAGTCATGTGATGCTGACAGCAGCAGAGGAGGGCTAATCCCCCAAAGTAAAACAGTTTTTTCAGGTTCTGCGTTTACCCCCACAGCATGGCAAACGTTGTTTAAGTCGTATGTATAATCCGAGTGTTGGTATGTTAAAGCGGAAATAGCCTGGACCTCAAAGAAGTGGGCTCTTGACCTTTTAGCATGGATTTTCTATGATTAATGTTACTTTTTTAAACCTCAGAAACATGTCCGCTATGAGAAGTATTAATGCCTTAATATACATATTTTTTCATACTCTATAGACCCTCCAGAAAAACGCGGGCTAAATTCCTTGATTATGTGATTAAACATGCAGGGTTTTTATGTGATTTTATGCGGTGAAATTGCGGGAAGTTGCGAAATATGCGGAAAGTTGCGAAATATGCTAAATATGCGGGGAAAAAGAATAACAATTTTTTAAAATATTGGGCTGTCTTATTTATTCTCTCTCACACACAACCTGCCACTAACGTTAAACCCCTTTACTATTCAATTAAACACATTCAATGTTTATTCATTGTAAAAGCAATTGGGCTTTTTTAATCACACACACACACCCCCCCCACACACGCACACACACACACTTCTCCGCCTCATTCTGTTTTCATTTACTCGTTCGTTATCTGCAGCTTCAATCTTGTAGGCTACTCACTTCGTTTCTTGTAGCCCTCGAAAGGGTTTTGGAGGTTGATGCCTCGGTGAACGTGAGTTGTTTGGCTTTCTTGTTCGCAGCAGCAGAAAGCATTTTCGAATGTTTGAATGAATCAAAGTGGGTCGTCACCGTCGATTTTCTCTTATGCTCCAACACACAGTTGCACGGGGTGCAGAATAGTTTCCCCCCACTTTTTGCCCGGTCTTTAGTAGAAATGTTCGTCGGTAAATGAGATGGATTAGATTTTTTCATCTTGGTGTTTTCTCTATCGTGTGAGCTCCACACGTTCACTCTATACAGTGTTGTTTACATTCTGTGATGCGCGAGCTGATGACGTCACGTCAAGACGAGTTAAAAAACATTTTTCTCAACTTTGTGTGGAAAAATGCGGGGATTATGCGGCCTTTTGATAAATATGCGGCCTTTTAAAAATCTGCGTCATTTTGCTGATTATGCGGTAAATTCTGCGATCGCAGAATCGCGTTTTTCTGGAGGGTCTAACTGTATACTCCTCTATGTTAACTCTTAACTCTTAGTTAAATTGGAGAACCCCCTTCTTTACATTGAATGTCAAACCATCCAAAACCCACATCAGTGATTCTCTGGCTTAACTGATGTGGGTTTTGGATGCCAATACTGGTACAGATGTGTTTTGTTAGAGGACCTAATGATGGCTAATCCCTTTGTGTTTTTATGAAACAAAACAACAACAACACGCAGTAAATTTGTCCTCCTGAAAACATACTTACATACAAAAAACCATATGAAATAGAATTCAAGCCGAATACACAGTGGTCTTTTCTCTCTTTAAAAACTGTGTATCACACCCTTGATATAACACTTTTTGAAAATTGACCAAATTGTTGAACTGATAATGTATAACCGATTGATACGTCTATTGGTTGACTGAAGCAGGGGCTGTGTTTCCCCTTAGACTAATATTCTCTCAGGGCCAGAATAAAAACTTCCTGCTCAGTTATCACTTTGCTTGGTCTACGTTTGATGTGAGGGCAGACCGGATTATCTACAGCACAAGAAGCAACGCTGCCTGCTCCTGAAGTGAGGCCTGGAGCAGAGCCAGAACATACTGTTTCCTTAATTTAGCACTTACCATTACACTCAAAGTAATGAGAGAGAAGGAGAGGTAAAGAAAGAGACCGACTCCAATGACAGACGGAGGGGGTTGGAGGGGGAGAGACACCGCTGATGGATTAATTTAAAAGGAACCCTTTTCCGTCTGCTGTCGGTGGTCTTTCAGCTTTGGGAGACTGACAGGATGATTGACAGGTTAAGCCCTTGATGAAACAGTGAGACACCTCAGGTTTACATTTGGGATCTTTTTAAAAGCTGTCTGTCTGTCACTTGATGTATGGCTGAGTCATTTAATCTGTGTGAGAGTGTTAAATAAAGTCTCTCTCTTGGTTATTATGAAGTCAAATTTACAGTTGATCATGTCCAGCAAAAGTCAAATCATCCTGTTGTTGAATGCATACCTTGCCGTCAGGCTTTTAAATCACAGTAGTGCTTCCTCTTTTGAAGGTGAAAGCCCCTGTAGAGGCCATGTTGACTTTCAGGGGGCTTTTAAAGTTAAAGCAAACAAGAGTGTCAGTTTACCCAGAATTCCTCAGGCTCTGCCATGATTGGATTGCAATGTGGATGGAAAAGGTGCAGTGAAAGTTAAATACTAGATTTAAGTTGGATGGTTGGAGCAAAAGAACGTTGTACTTATTGTGCCATTATTAGGGTCTGTTTTTTCCATAATGTCATGGTATTACTTACTTTATATAGGCTTACAATACAAATAAGCCTTTACAGATATGATCGAATTTAAGTGGTTTCCAATTGAATGTGAATATTTGGGATTTCTCTGCTGCCAACAGGATTTTATAATTTCCATGCGAGTTGAATTTAAGGGGAGTACAGACTGGAGACGTGATGGGGGAATGTTCCTCTAACAACTGGAAAGAGAAATAAACAAAATTCCTGTGACTTCTCTTAAACGTCACTTGTTCCTTGAACTGCAAGCCTATTTGTTTAAAGGAACTCCTGAATAATATCACAGTTTCTACTCTTCTTTCATTTTGTATTACCAGATGAGTGGCTTAACAGTTTGCCGTGGTTATTTTTCCAGCAGATGGCTTGTCACAACAGTATGAAAGATGCTCTAAATACCCAGTTTTAGTAAACGCAAATTACTCAGGAGGGAAGCAGGCTGTGTCCTTTTTTTAGAATAAGACCTCTACTTACTAGGATATCCTTCAGCATCACTTCAATGCACAGCGGGAAATGATATACTTCCAATAGACTCGTCCAATGATTGGATTATAACATGTATACTGGGAATCTTCACATCCAGTAATGTTTGCCACTTTTATCTTACTTTGCTTCATATGTATATTTGATCAGAATTGTCTGTATTTGTGACCAAAGATAAACATCACATCTGTCACGTCCCCCCTTCAAACACTCTGAGTTATTCAATTCTGGATGGGAAGTTCCAAGGAAAAGTAGGGGGAGCATTCCAGGCAGATCGTTATTCCACAGGGATCAAGACAGAGCTGAAAAGATACAAGATTTAAAGCCCAAGCAAGACTTCTGGTCCACTGGGGGTAAACATGTGATGCCAGTGGTGAGGGGCTTAACTCTTCACTGTCTGGTAGAGCAGATTGGTTCTTTAGAAAGCACTAGAGCCAGTGTCCAGTGTCTTTACTCATATATATATATATATTATAAATGCGCTTCCAGTGCCCAAAGTGAAGCCACTTTTTTTATTTGTTTGAACGAAAGCTGAAAACGTTGAAGTACTGGTGTGAAACAAGCAATAGGAAAGGGTCATTCTTAGGTTTGTTCAATATATGCTTCAAATTGAATATCAAACGTATCTACGGTAATTCATTTTTATTTCAACACTTTCTCTTCTGATTATACTTGTTTTCTCACTTACTGCTTGTTTGACCCCAGTGTTTATAAGTGTGTCTCTCTGACACATTTGATCTGACATGTAGTCTTGATAAAAACCCTTTTTAAATCCCACGGTGACACACAACGCGAGTATATGTGCAGCGTAATCAAGAACAGATCCAGGTTGTTTATTATTTTACTTTCTCAAAAAGTAAATACAATATCCCACCATAGCTGTCTGAAATGATATTATTACAGCTGTCTTTTGACACTGTGACTCTCTTTGCATCACATTCCCTGAGGCTTCCTCCTCTGCATTTGACAGGTTTGAGTTAGGATGAGGGCTGTTTTACAGTATGTCTGGGTGATATTAGTCACAGCGTAGCAGTCACAGCGTAGCAGACACATTGTGCCGTGAATGTTGCTTGGGGTGAGAAATGTGTTGTAATCGCCCAACGTGTCACTGTCTGTCAAATAAAAATATCTGTCTGCGTTTGGAACGTATACACAGGCCCTACGTAGACTGGCTATTTAATAATGTAGGAGCAAGATTAAACAAGCGCTCATTCATTCTGCTTTCTGTATCTATGCCTGACTTTGGTGTGAAGATTTTTTATTAGTCAACCTTTCTGTGAGAATGTCATGAGTGTGCTGCACATAAAAGGTTTTCCATTGGAGTGCATAATTAGGTAATAGAGACATTAATCCCAGGAATAACATACCCAGCTATGTCAGCTCTTAAACGCACCATGGCACAGTCAGAGGCTAACTGTTACTGAGAGATGGAAAGTGCTTTAAATCAGGTGCCAGATGCAAAGTAATTAGACTGGTGTGCAGTGTAAAGTGACTTCAGCCTGTTTAAGCCTCCGCTGGCACATCGGGAAAGAAGAAATCTTATAGTGTATTAGTACATATTGGAGTAGCGGAGTATGCAGTATTAAGTATGTCCCTTTCATGCATTCCAGTCTGGCATAACTCAACGAATGATGATTTAATTTGATGGCTCAGTCTAAATATCTAATTGCCATACATGTAAATGCAGAAGCCCCTGTCTACTACCAGAATATCAGCTGTAATTGCTTAGAATAGTTTTAAAAATAACCTTTTTTGAAAGGTTTTGTAACATAACATAAGCCTTGGTGCAGCTGGTTGAGTTGGTGTGTAGAAAGCATCTCATCACTAATTCCTATCTAAATATAGAGATATATTTTTTGAATTAGGAAGAAAGTGTTCTCAAGGTGTTATCTTTTACGAGATGTTCTGTTCACTAACTGTTCTTAGGTCAGCTCGAATCACCTTGTGTCGTTCACGGTTCTCCTGTGATTGTAGCATATCGGTGTGATGGTTTAAGATTGACTCTGTAACATGGGATTTTTTTTTCCTGCTGGTTGTTTAGTTAGGTTGAATAGGAAATACTACTCCAGAGTCTTGAATTTAGCACACAGGAAAGAGCGAGAATACACCGAGGTCAAAGAGCGGGGAAGGTGGACGCGAGAAAGACAACAATTATATTCAGTAACTGTAACAGCTGAAAAAAAGGGAACACCTTCTTATGAGTTAACACCAAGCTGCAACCTCCAGGACTTTCAGGTGCTGTCAATGCAGGCGGGTCCACTTAAAAAAAAGTCCAATTGATTAATTTGTTATCTCAGTAAACCTTTTCCTAACAGATAGTTTTAAGTCTTTTCAAATACAACACAATGTTCATTCAGTAAGTTATTGTCTTATTTAGAGTAAAATAGATGATAAAGCAGGATATACTTCAGTTGTTATTATCAGTGTTTATAATTTGTAGTTTTTCCGTTGAAGAATTTCTTGCCAGTCAAAACGCCAAATGCAAGGCTTCAAAATGGTTATCCACAAACCAATGGATGACCTCAGGATGACTAACTTAACTTCTTATACACAGTCTATGATTGAAACAGACTCACAGACTTATATTTGATAAGTATAGCATTTTCACATCTTTGAATCATATACATTTTGACACCACCATGAAGATGAATTGCCTTGTATATTGTAATCTTTATTGGATATTACATTGCGTGCCAAAGGTTGTATTTGATGGAATCTGAAAGTGAAAGCATGAAACATGTATGTTTCATGCTTTCACTTTCAGATTCCATCATTCCACACAATGGAGAGGCTAAGGAAGAGGACAAGTGACATCCTGTTTGGGAAAGCAAGCAACAAAGTTAATGAGATATGTGATCCCTACTGACAGAAACACTAAGGCCATCGGCTAGAAAAAGAATAAGTAAACAGCTAAGAGCAAGAGAGGTTCAAAGCTGGATGAAAATGGAAGGAGACAGACATGAGTTCAACACTTAATGGAACTTTGAATGGGCCTTTGTACTGTATAAAAACGAGTTAATTTAAAATAATATGTAAAGAGATTGTAACAGTTACAGCGCAAACAACCTCAATCGCTGCGGTCGGGTTATTCATCTGTTTAAAAAGGTCTGGGATATGTGGAGACTTCTTAAAGTCACATAGGCCTGATTAATTGCTACAGAGTAACACATTATAAATACAGTTCCAACTGTTTTAATCAATGTTACGTCTCAAATAATGTATTTATTTATTAAGCAACCCTATAATAACTGACTTGCTGTACACCATCCCTTGCTTGTTGTTGCCAGATGGTCACTAAGGTGATCTTCATATCATAATTAGCCTACTACAGACCTGACAACAACCATGCTTTTGTCTTACTACCTGAAACTGTTAGGGAAATTCCTCCAGGTTACAAACACAAAGACATGCTTTCATGACTCTGTAAGGCTTTTCCCCTTGAATTACACAGGGTTACCAAAGGCCCTCATAGGAAATGTGATGTCAGCACCTGACACCCTCATAAATGTACATTTGTAGCAACCGTGTCCAAAGTTCCTGTGTTTATTCTCTGCTGGTTTTTTCTAGGTGTTTCCCCAACAGACAGAATGAGAAACCTAAAGTCACCTATCATGTCTCCAATCCCTAAACTGGGAAGCCCCATCCCGAGCCCCATGTCCGGTCTTCAGAAGCTGCCCCAGTGCACACGCTGCTGTAACGGCATTGTGTAAGTATATAGTATAGAACAGTCCATACAATTAGCATGTGGTTGTGAGTTATTGGTGATATACTGTAACCACTTTAAAAACATGTGGAAGACCACTCAAGGCATACAAAATGTTTATTTTATAAATGTTCCACTTTTGCTTTTAATTTCAACACTCTGACATTTACAGACATATAGTATTAGTTTTAAATGTTTAATTGTAGGGTGGTTTGTATCACAGCATAACATTGTATGGTTTAAAAATGTTGGGTGCAGTGGTTTATAATTACAGACTAGTGAAGATACCTTTAATAAATACATTAAAATATGGATGATTTATTATCAGATTCGCTCTTTTAATCACCATCTGGTAATTATATGTCTGTGTGTGGTTGTATCACTCTTCCTTTCATTCTAACATTTCAAAGTTGAACAACTCGAAGGGAGTGAAGTTTCCTCCGTGACTCTTAAACAAAAAAGTAAACTTGCACAGGTCGACTTGCAGCAACAGGCCTTTCACAAGAAAACATATTCCCATTTGTAATGTTAACGATTAAGCCAAGCCATCCTCCACACCCTTTCCCACACACAAACATGTACACACAAGCTTACACTAAACATCGAACACAAGCACACACGCTTTTCTGCCAAAGTAACCACATGCACCGGTAATCCCCCTTCTATTAAGCAGCTCCAGGTAAACACTGATGTCATCGGCTTACTTTACGTGTTAACAAGAGGGCATTGTAGGAGCTTGCAAGGCACAAAAAGGCTGTTATGACCTAGGAGCATTTTACAGCTTTTTAAAAGGGTGTAGAGCACTGTGTCAAGAGTTTATCCTTCAAGTCGTGCGGTTAAATGGGGAAAGCGGTTAAAAAAAGAAGTTGGCTTGTGAATGAATGGTTGCTGGCCCTCGTCCCTCGTCCAGAAAGGAAAATCTTATTGGGAACTGTGAATGAACAACGCCCTTAATGACTGCCATCACTGTGTGACTGACTGAAGCATTGAACTACCAAATGCACCAGTGTTGATCAGCAGAGAAAAAACAACTCTCTATTCAGTTCCCAGGTGTGCGTTGGTGTTATTTCCCTGAAATATGACATCAATAATATTCAAATACTTGCGTGGGCATAGTTGCTAAACGGTATGATAACTGCTGATAAGCATAGATAATGGTAACTGAAAAGAACAACTGTGAGTCATTCATAAGCAATTTATCATCACTTACTTCCTTTTAAAGTGTTCCGCTGAATGTGTTGCCTCTACAATGTTCACCTCCCTCGAAAACACATTGGACCTTTTAAGGCAATTTGCATGTCATCGCATCGTTTTCCAAAAGGATCAGATATGAAATTGTGCCAAAGGTATTGGAAAGATAATCTAAACCCCTATATTTTAAAAGTATATTTCAAGCTAAGGTTTTAAACAATTGTCCAAAAAAAATCATCTCTTAAACAAGTCCAGCTTTATTTACTCTTTTGTCAATAGCATCTGAGAAACAATATATGGGAAATTAGAATCAAAAAGTGTCATACTTAGTTCTTACAAAATAGTTAAATGCCAGGTCTTTAAATCATGATTAACCACGACCAAGCAAAAAGATTTAAGGCTTAGTAAGCACTGTCTAAGATCAGAGGGTAAAGTTGGAAAAAATAGGGAGTTACCTACACTAGCACCAAGTCTGTTTCATGTATCTCTCTTTGTCTTTATGAGTAGTTTTTAATGTGCATCTCCATCATTTCCGAAGTTGTTAAAGTCTTATCTGTATCTCCTTTTATCTATTCTTCCAGTGGCACCATTGTGAAGGCCAGGGACAAGCTGTACCACCCTGAGTGCTTCACGTGCGATGACTGCGGCGTCAACCTCAAGCAGAGAGGCTACTTCTTCATCGAGGAGAGTCTGTACTGTGAGACCCACGCCATGGCGCGCGTCCAGCCCCCAGAGGGCTACGACGTGGTTGCTGTGTACCCCAACTCCAAGGTGGAGCTAGTCTGAATCAGAGATGGAGCTGGCTATACTGTAATATAACTGGGGAGGTAAAATCTGGGAGAATGGGGGCTACTGAGTATTTTATCCTAAATGTATCAGGCTCTGTCAAGCAGGAATGCCGATCTTGCATAAGTGTTGCCTTTGGGAGATTCCAATGAACTGCGTGTGATCCAAGATAAGCATTTCTACACTGACAGTCTTGATAAATGCTATGTATATTGAGAATATTGTAATTTGTTGACAGAATAAGGCTTGGATCTCATGAGTATCCCAAAACTCAAGCTGACATTGTATGTCCCAAGCTGAGAGCCCTCATCTCTCAATCAGTTTGTTTACGTTCAGTTTTACGTCCAAGAAACATATTGAACGAGTTAGGGCCTTATTCAGAAAAGATGTTCATATCCACATTACAAGCACGGCATATTCAATTTAAAAACCAAGAAACTGCACAGATGGCAATAGTCTGCAGGTATTAAACTGAAATTGTTATGCAATTTGAAAGCACGACACCAATAGACTCCAAATATCTGCTTATCTAACAGCCAGAACATTCGTTATTTTACCAGCATAATATTCAATGTCGCATGACACCACTCACTCAAGTGTGTGGGTGTGAGATGCAGGTTATCACATGGCAGTTTGGAGTATGTTTGCTTTGATGAACTATGCAGAGGAATTAGTAGTTTTTCTGCTATCAAGCTAATTTTGCATTTAGATATAATATATATAACACCATTTACCCTGCAGAATGTCAGTTTGTGTTTTGCCAAGTAATTTAAGGTATAACGATTTTTTTACAGATTTGGTTAAGGGGTTTAAAGGTTTCAGTGTCTTTTTAACCATGTTACAATTACACCTTATACTCCTGTTATGATACATGGACGTTTGCATTTAGTCATTTACATCTATGCAGTTTATATATCAGACTTTCTATGTTACAAAAAAAGAGGAACATCTCTTTATTATGCTCACTTTCTGCTTAATTTTCAGTTATTTGAAACAATAAATAATAATTCATTATACGCAGATTTCTACCTAGTTATGAGTGTCTGGAGTGTGCTTTGAAGCAGCTATCCAAGCAGCCCCCCCTCTGAAATGTAAATAAACCCTGCTGGAGACATCCTCTGATTTCTTTTAGGAACTAAAGAAGTTGTTGAAAATCAGATCCCAGATGTGATCACAACCACTTCAGTTTAAAAACAACTCAATTGCAAGAAATTAGACTTTAATGATTAAGTAGCCTAATGCAGTGCGTGCATGCATTCATGACTTTTTGAAAGCATGTGACACACATTTAAAGACGATTGTAAGTTAAGTGCTCTCAGGAACCTAACTGAGAGAGGAATGTCAGCTTTCATGTATGTTCACACTCTAGAATTCCTTTACATAAAAACAAGAGCATAGAGTTTATGGTGTGCGTATATTCAAAACACTTTTTTCAACAATATGCTCTCCATCTCTCATGACAATTTGAAAATGATCATGTGTACTTGAGACGGGAGACATATATTTTAAACTGCCCACAGCCTACAACATGTGGGAGTAATTCACTTTTTTATTTTTTTGGACCTGAAACATAGATGCATTACTATTCTTTTTTTTCTGATTGGACAGAAATTGGAAGTATGCACACTTGTATTCCCTTCCTACTATGACCTCAAATTTCTCGATGAAAAACATATATTTCTTTTACATTTCCTCTGAGAGAGGGGGAACAGAAAGGGAGGGAGGTGAGAAAGAGAGATGAGGATGTTTTTATGGAAAGAAGCGTGCCTTTTTGACTCCAATGTGGGGCCATTTGTCTTGGCTAATTGTGAATAGTGAAGTAAAATGGGTGGAGGAGAGTGATCGTATTCCTAATTTTAGAAATATTTCTAACAAAATTACTTTTTTATTTGAAATGAGACCATTAACTTTGCAGTGCTGATGTCCATTGTTTTTTAGATATCAACAGTGATGTGTAGCTGCTGGTATGCCATCTATACTAGTTATCTTGTAAATTATGTGAAAATTATATTGCTACCACATTGTTTCGTTGGTTTTGTACATATTTCTTTTATCATGATGCTTTAACATACTGTTTGTAACATGTCACTCGCGTGCCTTTGCATACCCAGTGTCTTTTAAATGATTTCCTTGACACAAATCTACTTTTTCTGTTTAACTTATTGTTTTACCAACACATTTGTTTGTTCCTATATGCTTTTTTTTCTAGAATCAAAATAAAATGAGTGCATTACCATGATATTATTTTTCGCATTCTTTCTTGGGATTAACTTAAAACAGAAACCAGAAACGTATTGAGAGCTGTACTGGGAAAAACACAAGGTATTCAGTTCTTGTATTGGCTCTTTTCCATAACATTTCATGTAAGACCTCCAGGCTGCAATATGTGTGTCTTGCAACCTAAATCCTACGGTCTTAATCTGAAGTTAAACCTACATCGTTAAAGGTTCAATTAAGCCCTCATTTATTCCTCTATTTATTCTAGTCTTTTTTCCGAACATTAACTCATTCATAAAGGAGTCGGTTAAATGTGATTCGATTACATGCCATATCAGAAAAAGCCAATTTAAGCTTATATGGTTTAAAAGGGCACTTTAACGAAGAAGTAGGCTTAATGCCTGTCTGGGAAATGAGCCAGTGGTGTTCAAGTATTTTCATACTTTGTAGTAATTGTACTAATGTGTTGAATTTCATCAAGTATGTGGCTTCTCATGTTGCTGTATGTGGACCAGCCTGTCAAATCTGTGATTCATGCAGTTGCGGGACATGGCACAGATTCAAGGGACCTCTTGTAATCCAAAACCCAGAGGCGAGAGGCCACCTCATACCCCATTAAATGACTTTGCACCTTCAGTATCAACTCATTCGACAACCACACTGAATGCCTGCAGATTTCAAGCAAGCGATGAGAGAAATTGTGGTGAAAAGAATAGACTAGCCTTCAAGAAACAAAGGCAAAAGAGAAGGACAGGTAAACAAAGAGCCGACAGCTTCTCCTCTGAAGTGGTTTCTGTAATCACAATGACTCACATTTGCTAATGTGTCCCATGTGCATGGCAGTACCAAATGTACATGAATGTTTACATGTATTTTTGCTCCAATCCGCTTTATCATTATGCCTCCAGTAATCGTAATTTGACTTCCAATTTATTTTCCCATTTATAAAGCGCTAGTCTCTCGACCACTCAACACATATTTACCCGTTCACACAAACATTAATACATTAATGTCAGGGCTGTTATACAAGGTGCCAAACTGCACATCCGGATTTCATTTAAAGCTCATTCACACACACCGAGTGCAATGCCTTGGGGAACAATTTGGGGTTCAGTGTTTTGCCCAAGAACACTTGACTTACTGAATATCTAGATGAAAAGTGCAGCGTCTCTTATAGGAAACTGTTCTCTGTATAACTCCTTTTGTTTGTAAAGTAAATAGGAATAGCTTCAATATCTGCTGTGAAGGCACTTCAGAACTTCTACAATCCCTCACAGTGTTATCAAAACAGAGGCAATGAGAGCTACAGAGAGAGAGAAACCAACGCTTTGCTGCATGGAAATAATTCTGCTCCTCTCTCATCTATAAACATATAGTCCTCTTAAAGTATAAACACTTCAAGTTGCTTAGAAACAGAGCTTGCTTTGCTCTCCAGTCGGCAGCCAGTTGAACTACTGTCCAGCACATTTTTCTTCAACGCACTTCCAAAACCTGCACCCAAGTTACCGGGGTCAGATTCCTCACATTGGCCTGTAAAATTAAATGAATAGGTTAACTGTATCGCATGGTCTTTCTGTGATTTATCTCGACATACACAGAAACATTTACAGTTTTGATCCTGTTTGCATGTATGTGTAAGTTTGTCATTCCTCTCTTTCTTGTCTTTTCCCTGCACACGCTCTGATCTACTTTCTTTCAATAACCAACGATTTATACCTCACTGATGCTCACAGTCCGATTATCCTGTTTGCAAATCAAAAGCTGTAATAACTAACCTCCTTAGTATTAAATGACAAAACCTGATCTCTCTATTGTCACTGTTGTATATGTGCACCTCTTATCTTTATGGAGCATGCTGTTCATTCCTGATCTGTGGACCCATACGGTACCAACCTGTTTTCCGTGACAGTGGTGATTTGTAGAGTTTTACTGGACGAGTGCCGGCTATAAACTGTGATGTATACCGGGAGACTTGACATACAGCAGAGCAGCATTATAGCCATTCCTGCTCAATTTTAAATTGAATTTCAGACATAACTTCGAAACCCATGGTATGAGGTTTAATACGGAGCATGGATGGGTGAAGAGTCTGGAGATAACCTTCTGTTTTACTTTATATTGACACTGGCAATTTATAGTGTATTAAAGAGCTTTTTAACCAATTCAAAATTCGAATGGCTGTGGTGTAACTGCAGAGGTAATGCAAGCAATGTTGTTTGGATGTGTGTTATGTAGTGCGTTACAATTGTTTTTTTTTAATCTGTTATTATTTTTCAATTTCCACATCCTTTAGGTAAAAAACGTCTATTTTAGGTCCCTTCAAATGTAAAATACTTTTACAGATAGAGCCACAAGACCAGCTGACTTATTAGAACTTGTCTACATATTGTATATCCAAATATTTCAAGGTCCTAGACAGATTGCAAGAGCGATTTTATTGGAAAATCTTTCATTTGACAGAGCTTTTATGGACTAAAGTCTGACAGGGTTTGGTTTTATCTTTATTTATAGATGTACATCTGTGTGTATTCTCGTATTTCTTTTATGAGAACAAAGTCTACACACAGGGATGAAAAGGTGCCCAGTCTGAGTATATAGTATATCCTCATGGTTTGTTTGCAAGGATCTGTGTATATCCATGGTAGCCCCTTGATCCTCCTCATGTTTAGTTTGGCCTTGTGAAGGGATTAAACGTTGATTGTGCTTTGCTTTGATTCTCATTAAAAGGGGATTTGGAAAGAAACAGTCACTGATCTTGAGACACCCACAGGATGACCTCAGTTGGACAGCTTTTAGAGCAGTAATACATTCTCAATGGTGGTCCTAGTTAAAAGGAAATGGTTCTGATGCTGCCGCAATGAGAGGTTCTCTCTGAGGTTATATAAAAGTGTGCAAAATCTGTCTCATGTGAGGCAAATATAGCTTTCCCAAAATAGATAATGTGAAAACAGCAAGTGGATCCAATGAGGCATTTGATGACAGAATATGTCTGCCTATGCAAAAAGTTGTCCAGCTGTGAATTCATTTTGGTTTTTAACCCAGCCTTTTTTTTGCCTCTGATCAGATTTAGCCTAATCTGATCCAACCTAAACTGTTGTTTTTTTCCACAGAGGAGGTTGTATTTTCCTTCCCAATTGTTTGCAAGATTAAAGGGGACCTATCATGCAAAATGCACTTTTGTACTTCTTTTATACATGAATATGTGTCCCGGTGTGTCAGGAACTCACGCAAGTTTCAGAAAACACAACCCTCTCTCTTTTCCTCCATACCCAAATCTCTAAAAACGGGGCTGCAACGGCGCTGATACAGACGTTAATTTTTCTTTATCAGGGGAATGGGGGGTTGGGCCACGGCCACGGCCATTGCCGCTCGAAAGCGCTGGAGACGCTGTAGTACATATCCCAGGCCTGTTAGTGGCGCGGTAGTCTGCCACAAAAGCAGCGAAGAAGACTTCTCACAGAATCAGCCCTTGCAAAAACAGGGCTGGAAAAGAGCAAATAGAGCTAAATGAGGCATGGCTAAAATGCATGACCTGTTTGGTATTTTGAAAAAAAAACTTCACAGACATGTTTTATATAGCTAAGGCCCTACAATATATTATTCAAATATAGCATGATAGGTCCACTTTAAGCAGGATATTTTTTAATTGTGATGACATATTTAAAGGGGACCTATTATGTAAAATGCAATGTTTTGGGAGTAATATGCTGTGTGTTTACATTAGCAAGCGTGCTAACACTCAGAGCTAACCAATGGCGCTAACGCTGTAGGCTACTGGAGAGAATATGTGTAACGTAATGTCCTTGTGGTAACCCCTGCGAGAGAGAAAGGTTTGAGCTCCATACTGTTTCAGAAATAATGCTTGAAGTGATTGGGAACATAAGATGGCATTTAATCACCGCAGCGTTTAGCTGAGTTTCTCCCGGTAGAAAACTCTCTTAGCAGGGGAAAGCTGCATGACGCTACACAGGGGCGTGGCTAGCAGCAGCCGTTCCATTTAAAGCAGAATCAGCCTTTTTGGAACAGGGCTGGAATAGAGGGTATGAGCAGTATGAGGCATGGCTACAATGGGTGATCTGTTTGGTATTTTGTTTGACATGTTTTGTATAGGTATGGCCCTACAATATATTTTTCAAATATAGCATAATAGGTCCACTTTAAATAAATGTGGTGGAATGTAAGAACACGAGCCAAGCACAAGATAATAACTTCAAACTCTTTTTTTAGTTTCTCACAAACAAGCTTGATTGGAAACCGATTTGACAAATGTATCTTATGTTGCACATCAATATTTTTGATTTTACAAATCAATATATTTTCCGCTTCTACAAAAGAGTAATGGCACATTTATGTTGTTTGTGCTGCCTTGGCAGAGGACTGCACTTTGTGAGCAATTTCTAGTTTATTTTAGCTGATTCAACCTGATATTTTATCTGCTTACATTGAACTGTGACCAAAAAGTTTCATGTGATAGTACAAAATGTCAAAAGTCCATTGTTCTTTGAAGAAATATGATGTACTTGGAAACTGTGTTGACAACATTTGTGTTTGTGATTAAATCTTCATGGTTGAAGATGCACAAACAAGAACTGACATGGTGTAAGCTGGTTTTGGAAAAGGAGTTATTGTCGATCCGTACGAAGACTTATTTTATTCACAGTCAATATTTATTCATGGTGACATTGTTGATGTACAGAACATAAATTAAACATAAGGCAGTGATGAAATCCCGTCTGAGGTATTTTGTTTACTCAGAAGAGTATGAAGGCCAAAGTGGCCCTCCACCACCACATTGCTACAGAATGTATTATTATTCAGACGTCCGTTTGAATGAAAGTGGACGTAAAAAGAAAACAGATGGTTTGTGTCGAAGAGGCATGTCTGCTTTCACCAAGTCCTGATTCAGAATGAGGTAAACTGAACTGAAAGTGATTACACCGAATCTATGGATGGATTTTTCTTAAACTACTAAACAATTTTTTTTTTTTTCGTAACCAATTTAAATGATATCTAGTACCAGAC